AGCGACCACAGGGGACCATCTCCTGCCCCTCGACACAGCGTCCCTGGGGGCCTCTCCCACCCCGCCCCATAGGCCCCTTTCCTCCCACAGCAGCCCGGGGGTGGCACCCCCCCCACACACAGCATCCTCAGGACTGCCCCCTCCCTACAGCATCCCTGGAGGGCGCCTCCCGCCCAGGGCCGCATGATGGCTTTCGTGGTCCCGAGGCACTTTCGCCTTCGTGGGCCCCTTCTTCCATTAAAAAAAAATATTAAAATTATTTTTGGTATCACTTTAAATACTTCAACAGTTTTTTTTTCTGTGGCACCCCCCCCACACACAGCATCCTCAGGACTGCCCCCTCCCTACAGCATCCCTGGAGGGCGCCTCCCGCCCAGGGCCGCATGATGGCTTTCGTGGTCCCGAGGCACTTTCGCCTTCGTGGGCCCCTTCTTCCATTAAAAAAAAATATTAAAATTATTTTTGGTATCACTTTAAATACTTCAACAGTTTTTTTTTCTGTTTTCGGCAAAATGTAATAGATTTTCGCGGGCCCTAGAAGTTTCATTTTTTTCTGATGTGAGAAAAATATTAAAACATTTTCTTTGACCCTAAAGGTTCATTTTTTTTTCTTCTGATTTTAAAAGAAATTAAAACATTTTCATGGGCCCCTAAAAGTATCGTGGGCCCTAGGCACTGTGCCTAATGGATAAGTCGGCCCTGCTCCTGCCCCTCTCAATAGGGTCCCTGAGGGACGGTTCCAAACCCTCCCCGCAGCCCTTTTCCCCCCACAGCATCTGTGGGGGCTACCCCTTCTGCGACAGACGCCTCAGAGGGGCATTCCCACCCCCTCTGCTGCAGCATCCCTAGAGGGCCTCTGCTTGCCCACAGCATTCCTGAGGGGGCCTACATCCTGCCACTCCATTACAGCATCCTGGGGAGTCGTCCCCACCACCACCCACATCAGTCCCAAGGAGAAGTGCCACAAAAGTGAGGCCATTGGAAAAACTGCCCTGGTGCTGCTATGTCCATTCCCAGTATTGCAGACTGATGAGGCTGTTTCTATGCCTCATAGCCTAAGCAGAAACTGGGAGAGGGGCTAGGGAATGGAGCATGTGGGAAGATCAAAGGTCTATAGAGGAGGCAACTTTTATATGCTGACTTAATGTGAGTTACATCCCAGTCAGACTTCACAATCCTCTCTCCAGGGGCCAGTAGGAAGCTTTCGCGAAGAGCTTGAGACCCGTGGGCGGAAATTAGATGCTTGTTTGGGCTTTATTAAAGCCCCAGATCTTTCCCCCATGATTTGAAAGGGGCACATTTTGCTTGTGACTAGGGATGTCAGTGGTTAACCAGCAGCCCAGCCCAGTGCCGCAGATGGAGGGTGCTCCAGCCCAGCCAGAGCAGCCCCCGCCTGCTGTGGGGGGGCCACTGCAGCCTGACTGGGCCCGTCGGGTGCTCCAGCCTGGCCAGAGCAACCACCTGCCTGACCCTATTTAAGTGGTTAACCCGTTAAATGTATCGTTTAACCAGTTAACTGATCGAATGGGATTTTACATCCCTACTTCTGACCCAAATGTACAGCGGCTGTTTATACTCCTGTAGATAGCAAACAATTAATTAGCAGTCTTTGGCCATGTCTATACTACGTGGAAGAGCAATGTTGCCACAATCGATCTTCCTGGTTTCGATTTAGCAGGTCTAGTGACGACCCGCTAATTTGAAGTGAGGGTGCTTCCATTGGCACTGATACTCCGGCTCCTCACAAGGAGTAAAGGGAGCTGACAGGAGCATTTGCTCCAGTCAACCTTCGGCTGTGTGGACAGTGATTTAAGATACCTAGCTGTAGGCGATGTAATTTACATAGCTGACGTTGCATATCTTAAGTTGACCTTCCCCTTTAGTGTAGACTTGCCCTTTGTGCCACAGAGGTAGGGCTGGCACTGCTCACTGAAAAGGGGGACATGAACACCAGAGACTGTAAGTGAGATGAAGCAGGAAGCCCACAAGTCAGGAGGCACTGCAGAGAAGTGAACCAACACTTTCCCCTCCAGAATCCAGGAGAGCTAGGGCTTCAAATGTATAAATATCTACTTATCTACAGAATAGAAAAATTGAGCAATTTGAAGACAGCATCATGGTACTCAGATGCTAGGTTGATAAGTGCTATGTAAACACCTAATGAGAATCTGAGTACTTGGGAATAGGGGAGGTGCAGTTCTCACTTGTGTTATTCTTGCTCCTCCTTGGTGACCTCAGCCCGCCCTCTCCTTGCTTTTTTGTTGGCCATTGGCTAGTAGATCAGATGCTAGGTCTAAGGGTGTGCCTACACAGCAATGTGCTGTGCTGCATGGGGAGCGCGGGGCCCAAATGGCCACTTGTGCCACTTGCTCCCCCGCGGCGGCCCGGCTGAGTGGTGGAGAAGTCAGCCGAGCGCCACGGCAGGAGGCAACAGTGCCTCCCAAAGGGAACAGCCAGTGTTTCAGCGTTACAGAGACACAGAAATTGGGCGACTATATTTATGATTGGAGGAAGTCGTGAATAGTCTCTCCACTCCTCCCCCATCAGTTTTAAGTATAATAGTATGAAGTAGCAACATAAAATACTAACATATCAAACATGTGACCACCAAATGCACCCACATGCGATAAACAACTCTCTTGCTTTGTCCCAAGAAGGGGTAAACTGCATTCAGGAAACTTTTAAAAAATGACTATGGTGCTCTCATGAAGTTTTGATACCACAATATTTTTGTGGGGACACATTCTAATCAGGGCCCAGAAATGGCAAAATGTGTGTGTCGATAAAGCTTCATAACTCTCTAGATAACCTCCTGCCTTGATAGGGAAGCATCACATCTCCAAATTCTGATGATGGATGTCTGGCTGAAGACTCAGTTTCCTTTACATGTCTGACATTTCTAGAGTGTTATTCATTAGCTTCATCCCTTAAGAGAGTCAACAAATAATTCACACACTGTTTTTGATCCTGTGTCTTTGGCTTTCTGTACAAAAGGATATCTGCTTTGGCTTTGTACACTGCCCTCTAAACAGCTATGGCTCCATGAGCAAATTTTGTATTAAACTGATTTTAAAATAGCTTGTGACAAATGCATTTTGCCAAGCTGTCATTTCTGGAACCAGATTTAAATTTGGCTTTCATGGAGCTTTAGACACAGCACTACTAGATACTTATGCTTCTAGATGTAAATGATGAGAAATTACATTTTGGACTGAACACTTTTTGGCTAATGTAAGTGTGATGTGTGGGATATTGTTGAATGCGGATCAGAGTTATACTCCATTTCTCTATACTCGGTTCCCATACTATAGGGAACAGTCGTGCTCTATGCCATTACCTATATATCTAGGTTTCTTCCAACTGTCACATCTTTTATGGAGTCCTTGAAATCAACAGTTCTAAGAGAAAATGTCCCCAGGTGGAAGACTTTACTGGGTGTGCAGAGGACACATTCTTTGCTGCTTTGGGGGAGGGAATGGCTCCTCCAGCTAATACAGGAACATCCCAAACAGGATGTAGAGGGCACCATCTATATCTCTGCTTTTGGCCTCTGTGAAGTGGAGAAGAGGAGGGTGGGAATAAAAAAAAAAAGAAAACTGAAGGAATTCCAGAAGACCATGAAGCAAGTACTCTGAGAAAAAATATGAGTCATGGATGAATAAAATAAGGTGAAATATTCTTCTCCTAGTGATATCATTTGCCAGGAAGTGACATTGCGGCAACATAAAAATGGACTTGAAAGATGCTTATTTATGGCAGTATTCTGTTTTTAGCTTTTCACTTTGAAAATGATCAGTCACTTTTCCTGCTGCAAAGTGATCTACAGTTTAGTAGGAAGCTAGTCTCATGCAGT